ACAAGAAGGAAAGGCAAGGTCCTGACTCCCCCAACATGTGGGGCATGGGCACCTGGTCCACTTGGAGGAACACAACTATCCCAGCCAGGCAGTAGGAGGTACATGTATAGACCCATGAGGACAGACAGCTGAAAACCACAACACATCAAAACCAAGTCAAAACCAGCCCCTGTCACTTTCACCAAGGATTCATTCTGACCAAGAGTAGAAGGAGAAAAACCTTTAAAATCCATGAGCCAGAAAGGGAGAAACTCAGCCTCATATTCAGATGGGTAAATCACCTCTCCAAACTAGAACAGTTCTCACTGTACACAGTGTTCACAGAAAAAAAGAATAGAGGCATTTTAATTTAAGAAGAAAACAGATACCTGCTGTCTTGCATTTATAGCCACATTCATGGACGCACATTCCTGCTCCTTCACTCACTCTCAGGGATTAATGGGAGCTTGATGGGTCTGAAAGGTGTGGGAGAATTGGAGCAGGCAAAGTACCCCTCAGGTAAGGAGAGCACTATTTAAAAAAACAAACCAGAAAACATGATTTGTTTTTTCCTAAGGTTCCCTGTTTGTAGCTCTGTAACGTATATGTGTGTGTATATATATGTGTGACTATGTCTATGTCTCTGAGCAGACGAGCAGGAGGGAAACCCTTCCATCTGCCCGCCTACCTCCCGCTTCATGGCCCTGGAGGGCCCTGGCCTGCCTCAGGTGCAGAAGCAAGGGCTGAGGCTGCCATACTGACTACTGATGCCCTACCCCTCAGTTGCCAGCAGCAAAGGAAGCACAATTCCCACTTGCAAGGGCTAGCTAGCCTGGACCTGTTGTCACTTTTGCTTCGACGCAGGCAAGGCTAGCTTCCCCGTGGTCTTCAGGGAAGGCTCTGAGAAAGGATGGAGTCCCACCCTCCCTCCAGCACCACCAGTGTTGGGGTGGAAGCAGAAGGAAGGATGGGAGTCCTGGAGTGGGCAAGGCTGGGCCCCTGCCTGGGCAGAAGAGCAGCCTCGCTCTTCAGAAGAGGAGCCTCAGCAGTGCTCCTCTGGGACACTGGCTCTGGGCCCTGCCCGTGCCCCCACTGGCCACCTACCTCCAGGGCCTTGGCCTCCTCCATGCCCCCTACCACTCCTCACTCGGCCCCCACTTAGCAGTTCCTCTCCTACTTAGACTAAAAGTCAGGCGGTTCTGAGCATGTCGTGGTCCAGAAAGCGCATGTATGACTATTTGCTGTTGTTTTAACCACAGAGGATGCCTGAAGTAGAGGTGCGTGCTGCCATTTTGGCTCTCGAGGTCATGAGCCTCTTGGAGTTCTCATTTGGGGATTTCACTCTGGACAGTTCAGAGGACCTGGGGACTCCCCCGCCAGGTTCAGTTCAGTAGCTTTTTTTTTTTTTTTTTTTTTTTTTTTAAGATTTTACTTATTTATTTAACAGAGATCACAAGTAGGCAGAGAGAGAGAGAGAGGAGGAAGCAGGCTCCCTGCTGAGCAGAGAGCCCGATGTGGGGCTCGATCCCAGGACTCTGGGATCATGACCTGAGCCGAAGGCAGAGGCTTTAACCCACTGAGCCACCCAGGCGCCCCCAGTTCAGTAGCTTTAAGCAGTTATTCATCATTCACCCAGGTACTTAATGAGCAGCTCTCAGTACCTAATACTATTATATTGGATATATATTCAATATCATTATATTGAAGGGGATCACAGGAGGTAAGGCATCCCCTGATCACTAGGAACTTAGACCATCCTCGGAGAGATGATGTACCCACATGTAGAACAGCCCCAGTTCAGGCACTAACAAGGGGGCCAGCCCCAGGAGAGTTCAGGAAGGGGGTGAACATGGGCTGAGGGATACGGGCAGAGCTTCCTGCAGAGGTGGGATCTGAGGTTCCCTAAAATTATGGGCAAGAGTCAAACAGGAAAACATCCTTAGCCTAAAAAACAGTAGGGGTTCAGGAGGCTTCCCTAAGGTTGTGTGACCCCAGAGGCCTGCTGCCACGGCTAGCATCACTCAGGTAACTACAGGCCTGCTCGCTGACCTGGAAGCTTGAAAAGCCGGAGCACAGACACAGAGGGTCCTGGGAAATCCCAGGAAGGTGCTATGGGGCTTCACATCCTGTGGGATTCCCAAACCCACAGAAGGCAAACTTCTCAGAAGCTGGGGAGATGGAAGGCTGGCAGACTGCCCTCGGACTCTGAGGCTTTCCAACCCCACCTGTCCTGTTCCCGTTCCAGAACTCACCTGCTGGGTTTCAGTGACTGATTTGGCATTCAGTCCCTCCAAGCAGGGACCAGCAGAAAGTTCTGGTCAACACCAACGAAGCACTAATGGGCATGGTTCTTAGGATATTTTGTTATCCTTCTTCCCACATCTTATCCAGGGCGGATGATGAGAGGAGAGCTCCTGAGGCTTGTTGAGAGCACGTCTGCCTTCAAGGATTTGCGGCTGTTGTCACATACTACCTGCTGGTCCCCCGTCCACTCTGTTTGATCCAGGCAAGGAGCACGCTCTCAGAGCTGGACAAGAGTGTGGTCCATCCTGATGTCAGAAAGGAGACTGACAATTGTCAAGAGAAAGGAAACAAATGCCCATAGCATGATGGCTTCTGCAGATGTCTGTTTGCCCCAGCAGTGGCAAGAGTGTTCCTGTCAGTCAAAAGACATCCCAGTCACCCTCTACGCTGCCTCCCTGCTTCAGGACTCTCTCTGTCCACCCCAAGTCAGCTACCCAAGCCATCTTCCTAAGTACAGATCTCCCTGCCACATATCAAAACAGTTCAGGACATTCAGAAAGACAGCTCATAGCAGATGGACCCTTGCCCATTACAGAGATACAGAAATATTGGGTAAGCTATCACCAAAAAATTTGTATTTTCGTACATGTTGTCCCTGAACAAAGAAGGGATATCTTCAAGTGGCAGAAATGAAGGGCAAAACCTCAGCCAAAGCAGGTAAGTGTAAGCTGGGTCCTGGAGTCCATGGAGATATTAAGAAGCCAAGGTTAGGCTCTAGGGACCAGGTTAAGGTTATAACACCTGTATGGGAACAGGAGATATGGTCTTAAGCTTGCTTGGAAGAGAGAAAATTTTCATCTGAGCTCGATAGAAAAGCAAGAGTATCAAAAAGATGCCCTTCCTTAAAGAGGATTGGAAACGCGGTCCACCAGCTCAGGAAAGTATGAAGAAGCAAATGATCTCTCTTGGGACATGGGTGGGGAGAAAAAGAAGTCACCTGTCAGAAATTGAATCCTAGGGCCCTGCCATAAATGGGCACAGAATCCAGACTGATGCCGCCTGTGAGGCCGTGAGCCCCAAACAGAGAAACTAACATAATGTTTGATCTAAAACAGTTGAAACCTCCAGGAGCCTAGTCGACGCTAATGTGCAGCCACACTGTGTAGAAACACTTTCACAACCCAGGGCACATGGGAGTCACATAGGACAAACAAGTCCTACCAAAGATGAGCTCACAATAAAAACTGACGCATCATGTGAGGAAAGGAGCCTCTGTGCATGGGAACCAGCTGGTGCATCAGGCAGGGTACGGTGTCTTGAAGACTGAAGGTAACAGAACGATCTGAAGAAGCTATCCACACGTCCCTACCCAGCACAACCCACCAGTTCTGGCCCCATTCCAATTCGTTCCTTCTGTGCCCACCTTCTCAGGTCATGCCAATCCCTCCTGTCACATACACTCAAAACCTGATGACATCTTCAACTTCTCTCAGCTCTTTCCTTCAAAAATGGCTTTCAATTTCTCATCTTTCTTCCTCCCCTCTCCTCTGTTACTGTAAAGGGCAGCTAGCTGGTCTCTCTGCCTGCCTGACTCCAGTGTCCCCCTTCTTTTTTCTCCAGCCCACACTGCCACTAAATTACACTTCCAAATGGCAAGTCCAGGGGTTTCACTTCCCTGAGCCGAATCCAGATTACAAAAGTCCAAACCTTCCCCAGCTTGGACTTAAAGTTCTTTCCAGTTTTGTTTTCTATTTAATACATTCCTCTCATCCACCCCTCACCCCACGCCAGCCACTTGTCCTTCCTTCACTCCCCCTCATACAAGAAGTCTCCTCCCTCTGACTCGACAGCTTCCCTCATCACATCGGTTGACTGAAGGTCAGCCTTGGCTTAAACCTTCTAGAAACATGATGTCATGGAAGAATACAGGCATCATTTGGGCTAGACCTATCTGGTTTCAAATTCCAGATATGTCACTTAGTAGCTCTATGCCTCAAGCAAGTCACAACCTCCCCCAGCCTCAGTTTCCAATTATGCAACATGAGAATTATACCACTTTGCAGTATTGAGAGGATTGGAATCTATGGAAAGCACTGAGCACAGAACTTGGCCCCAGAAAGTGCTCAATAAACAGTTGCTGAATTGAGCCTCTGTCTGTCTTTTTATGGGAGTTTTGTCCTGCTTCCCCAGCCAGAGCTCCATGAGGCCTGAGGCCTTGTCCAAACTGTCTTTGCATCTCTGTACTTTTCCTGTGCCTGACAAAGGAGAACCTGTCTACTGACAAGTAGTGGAAGGAATTTAGCATGCCTAACCTGATGTTAGAAGGGAATAATTTGGGTAGAGGGACCTAGTGGATCTCAGATATTGGAAGGGTGTTGAGGGCCCATTTATACTGTATCACTCCAGAGAGGGGAGAATACCATCAGAAGCTATAAGGATGGTTTTAGTCCAGGGTAGGAAAAGCCAACATACAGAGCTGCTTAACATGAGAGCAGGTGTCAAATGTAAGCTGCTTGCCATTAAAACACTCAAATTATAGGAAGTATTCCTCTGGTGGATGATAGATAAGACCATATCAGTGTTTAACTTTTGGGAGTCACAAAAGCCTTTGAAAGTCTGATAAAAGTTGTGGATCTTCCCCCACCCCCCAACAAAAAAGCTCAAAGCATAACATTTTACAAATAATTTTGTAAATAATTTCAGGAGCTTCATGGTTCCTAGGTAAAGATCACCTTAAAACCCTTGTAGTATGCTATGTTCAACTTTTTAAAAAATTTAATAATGAGAAAGAAGCATTTCTGTTACATGTATCCTCAAAATTCACACCTCCCATCTCAAGGGCCTGATTCATAACTAAAAACTCAGTGCCATTTGCCCAAATTCAATGCTCTACATATTTGTTAATTGAATGAATGAATGAATGAATGAAATCCTTGATTGACCTTTAAGGAAAGATAGGTACTGCACAGAGAAAAAAAAGATAAAAATGAAGCATTTTATAAAAAGACCAATACAAGATGATAAAAGGTAGAGAAGAGTTCATCAGGGTCAGAGAAAAGGATACATTTTGGAAGGCCCCAACTCCCAGCCTCTTGCCCAGGGCCAACTGCCCCAGCGAACTCCTAAACCCAAGATTCCATGAGGACAGAGTCACCTACCCAACTCTGCTTGCCCTGGTTGCTTGTACGCGTAGTGATCACGGCACAAACCCAGGGCACCAGGGAAAAATCACTCTTAACATCGTGACCATGTCCAGATGATATTCTAATCTGATTTTGAAACCTTTCCCTCTGTGAATTTAGGTTTAATTGTAATGCGACCATTCATTGTTCTATTACAATTGCTCAGTTCACCCTTGGTAATGAGTTATTAAAGGAAGCATGTCGAGGCATTTTTCCCCCTTAGAGTGTTATTATTCAAAGAATAGTTAGTTTTCAGCATAAACACTAGTGACAATAAGCCCCAAGAAGAAAATATCCTGTCCAAGCACAGAAGGACTTCTTTGACAAACTGAGTTTCAGATTCTCAAGGACCAGCTGCTGCTTTCAGTTCGTATGGGCACAGACACGCTGCTCTGCCCAGACCCAGTCTTCTTGCTCTCCCCACTCCCTGCCGCACCTGCACTCACGTGGGAACACAGTGGCAGCGGGATTTTAGGAGCCTTCTCAAGCTCTGCAGGGCCTCCGGCAGCCCGGCCCCGGTGAGGGCACTGCAGGCCTGGAGCTCCCAGCTGCGGTCCTGGAATCTCTCCAGGCCCAGCCTGTCTCTGATCCCAAGCAGCGGCAGAGCGCCGGGCGCCTCCTGCTTGTTGGCCAGCACCAAGAAAGGGACACTGGCCATGTGTGGATCGTCCAGGACTCCCACGAGCTCAGCCACGGCCTCGGGCAAGCGTGCTTCATCTGTGCTATCCAGCACATACACGAGGACATCTGTTCCTTCCAGGTAGTCCTTCCAGTTGGCCCTCAGCTGGGTCTGCCCCCCGACATCCCAGATTGTCAGAGACACATGCCCCGGGGCTTTGAGCGGCTCCACGTTGAAACCAACAGTGGGCAGGGTCTCCACCAGCTGGTAGCCCTTCAGTTTGTACAGGAGCGTGGTCTTGCCAGCTGAGTCGAGGCCTATCATCACCACCTGGGCTTCTGCCTTGTGACCTCGGGAATTCACAGAACCCATGGTGGCCACTGCTAAGCCCTAGGGGAGAAAGGCCAGGTGCACACATCAGCCATTCTTTTCAAGAGGAACACAAATCCACGCAGGCACCTGGAAGAAGAGCCTCTCCTCCAAAAGTAGGAAGCGTCTTTACAATGTCAGGTTTCAAACACAGGCCTGGGCTCTGAAAGGGCCAGGAAGTAAGGGCAAATGAGTCACCAGGAGCTGATCTATATCAGGAAGGGGGGAAGAGGGGAAAGGGGCTGTGTCAGGGAAGGGCTCCCTGGAGGACACCCAACAAGGCTCACATTCCTTGGTAGTTAAAGCAAAGAGGCAAAAGGAAGTTCATTCCAGTTAGATATAACCTAGTTCAGTAGGAATGACCGAAAGACGTCTTCAGTTCCTTCTAGTCTGTGGCTTCCCACCTCTGTTTTCTTCCTATAAACCTAAATCCTGAAGTGGAAGCTAGCTCCAGTTCCATGCACCAAATGAAGAAGACAGTCCGCTTGGGTAACTTGGGCGGCCATTGGCGCTCCCCTCAGGACCAGCACTGTGTCCTGCAAACAGTGGCTATGTCAAGTACGGTTGCCTGGGGACAAATTTACAAGTCACAGCTAGGTGGTTTCTTCCATTGCCTTATCAAGGTACATTGCCCATAGAGCACGACTCACATTTTTTATTTAGAAATGCCCAATTTCTGGGACGCCTGGGTGGCTCAGTTGGTTAAGCAGCTGCCTTCGGCTAGGGTCATGATCCCAGCGTCCTGGGATCGAGTCCCACATCGGGCTCCTTGCTCGGCAGGGAGCCTGCTTCTCCCTCTGCCTCTGCCTGCCATTCTGTCTGCCTGTGCTCGCTCTCTCTCCCTCTCTCTCTGACAAATAAATGAATAAAATCTAAAAAAAAAAAAAAAAAGTGTTTAGAAATGCCCAATTTCTAAAACCGAGACCTCTTCCCGACCTAGGGGAAACCTGGCTGGGACTGGGGAAGGGACATCTCTCCCCCGGCGGGTAGGAACGGGGCGGGGGGGGGGGTATTTCGGCTGCCTCTGGAGGGAAATAAGACAAGCTCCGTTCATTCCTCAGGCCAGCCGGGGAAGAGGGAAAGTAAAGTTACCTCCGTGTTCTTAGACTGCGGCCGAAAGCTCCTCCTCTGTGGCAGTCCGCTCGCACGCAGCTGCTTTCTGCGCGGCGGTGGTGTCCCAAGAGCAAGAGGAGAAGGAACAGTAGTGGCGGTGGCTGGTTCCCCTTTTCTGCTTCCTTCCGCAGGTGGTCGGGGCGGGGCGGACTCCACAGCCCCTCCCGCAGGGGACCGGCCGCACGGACGTCCCCAGCTGGTCCAGTCTTGGTAGAGCCCAGGCTCGCACCAACCCCGTTTCTCAGCAGCTCAGAACACGTGTGTTGATGGCATTTTATTTATTTATTTATTTTTTTTTCTGGAGCCTGGAGATTCTTTTGCTTGCTTGGACCCTACAGGTTTTTAAAAACTGCCTAAGTATGATTAAAATACTCTAAAAAAAAGTAACTATGTTGAAGGCAAATGGCAAGAATTTAAGAGTTGTGTCAGTGTGGTGGAACTATGCGCAATTAAACTTACTGCTGAATTTTTTTTTTTTTTTGACAATGTCATCGTGTTTTTCCCAGGAAACGATGATACCTCGAGAAAACACAGTTTTTAAAAAAATTATGGCCAAACAGAAGTCATTGATTCTGTAGCTCTCCAGTGGGCGTCTGCAGTTGCAGTGACATGTCTCTTGGGACCAGTCACATGTGTGCGCGGTGCTTTCCGATTTCCCAGGCGTTATTCCATTAAAATGGCAAGAATCGAGTTGGGGGTTATTACTCTCCCGTTTTACAAATAAAGAAAGCGTTTCAGAGTAAAAAATTTGCTCAAGGTCTTGCTGGGATTTACTCCTCTCCTCCTCTTCTAGCGTGTCTGCTACTCACCGAGAAAGTGCTTTGTAGAGAGCGAACATCCTGTTGGAATTGTCGTTGCTTTCCTTAGGCCCGGGTATTTTAACAGGAGGGAGTAGTTAGGAAAAGTCAGAAACACCGTGTGTTATGCTCACCACTCTGTTGTTGCTGTTGCTACTGTTGCTTAGTTCTTGGGGGTACCTGTGTTGTGGGCTGTAGTCGTTTTACGACCAAACCGGGCAAGTGGGAATTTACAGCCAAAATCGGGGAGGGGGGTCAGCAGATGGGAAATTACTGAGCGGGAACATCAGGGGTCAAGAGGGATTCTGGTTAAACTGACCCAACAGGATTCTTGCTGAAGACAGGCCAGGTGGCCAGACATCACCTGGGGGACGGTGGGGGCTGAGGAACGCGATCAGATTTTGAAGTGATTAGATATTAAGGGCAGGGCATTCTGGTTAAGAGGTAGGAGGGTTCTGGCTAAAATGGTATTTTAAGGAGGAAGTGCGCAGATGATCCTAGAAGAACTTTCAGGAGTCTGACTAAAGTTTAACCACACAAAGAATCTTTGTCATTACCTAAGAGAAGTCTCCAAGCATTAAAGAACTGTCTGGAGGAGGGCTTGTCTGCCTAATCCTAATCCGTGGGGCGGGGAGATCAGATCAAACTGAGACTCAGTCTTGTTCAGCTGATGAATCCATGGGGATCCTGGCAGGATTGATTTGCAGGAGGATCAGGATGGGCAGAGGATAAGGACATGGAGGCCAAGGTTAAGGTGTGCCTGGGGCGGAGTTAAGGGGGCAGGTTTGCTATTACTCTGATTCTGGTTCCTTCCGTGTGAGTCCTGGGAAGAGGGAAAGAGGTACACAGGAGCTGAAGAAGCTGCTGACTTGGAGAAGAAAGGCTGGACTAGGTACTGAAAAGTTTAATTCAGCTCAAATATCTTATAGGACAGAGGGATTTTTTTTTTTTTTTTTTTTTTTTTTTTAGGACAGAGGGATTTTTATGGAGCAGCTGTAAGCAAAGCTTTGTACAGGCTATTGCATGATTTTTTTAATTATTTATTTTTAAAGACTTTATTCATTTACTGAGAGAGAGAGATTTTATTCATTTACTTGAGAGAGAGATTTTATTCATTTACTTGCAAGGAGAGAAGCAGAGGGAGAGAGAGAAACAGGCTCCCTACTGAGCAAGGAGCGTGACACAGGGGCTCTGTCCCAGGACCCTGAGACCATGACCTGCGCCACAGACGCTTAACCCACTGAGGCACCCAGGTGCCCCTATCACATGATTAAAAAAACAAAAAACAAAAAACAACTCTTCAAAATGCATCTGCATGCCATATGAATGGGAGAAGTCAGCATCATGTTTGTGTGTGAAGACTAGGACATCGTGTATCAAAATTAGATACAGAATATATTGTAGACTCTTAAACTGTCTTTGCTTTGCGTTATAAATTGTATTTAGAATTACTACCATTCTGAGTGCCTTGTATTTTACATTTACAGCACAGTTTATCTTCCAGAACTTTTCTATTTCTAGTTTCCATTTTATTGGTAACACCATCTCTTTTTTGTTTTGTGTGTGTGTGTGTGTGTGTGTGTGTGTGTGTGTGTGTTTGGTTTTTTTTACCGCCCCCTCCTTATAAACAAATGAGGAACCTGGCAAAGTCGGGGGCGAGGGAAGAATTTCCTTGCCTGTCTCTCTTTGCTCTGTCTCCCTCCAAACAGAAATAGTATCTCTTTCTCTCTCAAAAAGAAAACAAAACCAACAAAAAAACACAAGAGGAAAAGGAACTAGCAGTGGGGGTTGTGCTTTCTGGAACAGCCAGCTGAGAAAGATCAGAAGGACGTAAGCTCAGCACCCAAGCAGCTTCAACTCCTGACTAACGCGTTTGCAGCATTTGCAAGAGTTTCCTGACGCGAAGGGGGAAGAGCCAACAGTGGCCAGAGACTGCCTCCTGAACATGTACAAGGAGGATGATGCGGAGGCCAAGACAGAAGTGTGATGAGCTCCCAGCGCCTCAGAGCCGGTGCTGGTGCCGGTGAGCTGCTACTCTTTATCCTCCAAGGTTGTTTCAATATGCAAAGTAGGTCCTCAGCAGCATCTGCTCTTCCATCAGCCGCGGTTCCTGAACTGGATAGTGTATTTTTAGTTGGCAGGGGGGAAAAAAAAACTCGATTAGGAAGGAGGTTGGAAGGTCACTTCATAGCTAGAAACTCAAATCCACACTTGAGACTTCTCTGTATTTCCCAGATGAGTGCTTTGATTCTCTTCTTTTTATAAACAAAGTTATGGAAGTAATAATGAATATATTATTTCTCATTTGAGTGTCAAACAATGTAAATGTCTACAGGACAAAATTCTTAGGTTCACTCTTTTTTCTTTTTTTTTCGTTTGTTTTGTTTTGTTTTTGAGAGGGAGGGAGGGAGAAAGAGAGAGAGAGAGAGGAGGGGTAGAGAGAGAATCCCAAGCCAGTTCCATCCCCAAAGTGGAGCCCCCGCCCCCCACCAGGACTCAGTCTCACAATCCTGAGATCATGACCTGAGCCTAGTCAAGAGTCATATACTTCACTGACTGAGCCAGCCAGGTGCCCCTTAAGTTCACTGTTCTTTAAAAAAAAAAAAAAGATTTTATTTATTTATTTTACAAAGAAAGGGTGAGAGTGAGTGGGGGAAGGGCAAAGGGAGAGAGAGAAACTCAAGCAGTCTCTGCACTATGCATAGAGCCCAAGACAGTGCTCGATCTCATCACCCTGAGATTATCACCTGAGCCGAAATCAAGAGTCGGACACTTAATCAATTGAGCCACCCAGGTGCCCCGAGTTCACCCTTTAAATCACTACTTCCCTCCTCTGAGATAATCAGGATTAGTAGTTTGACACACATTTTTGCAGCGATCTTTCTATATATACTTATATGTTTAAGAGCACCCACCTCGGGGCGCCTGGGTGGCTCAGTGGGTTAAAGCCTTTGCCTTCAGCTCCGGTCATGGTCTCAGGGTCCTAGGATCGAGCCCCACATCGGGCTCTCTGCTCAGCAGGGGCCATGCTTCCCTCTCTCTCTGCCTGCCTCTCTGCCTACTTGTGATCTCTCTCTGTCAAATAAATAAAATCTTTAAAAAAAGAAAAAAAAAAGAGCACACATCTCTATTTAACTGTTTATTTTTTGTTTGCGTCTTTTAAACGTAATTGTGATATCTGTAGCTTGTCATATTGAACATTTATGAGATCTTTCCACATTAGTATATATCCTAACTCAGATACACTTACCCTTTTGTTATTATTTTTAATAGGATTTTATTAAATAATGAGGAGACCTCAAGAAATACAAGAAGCATAATGCTAAAATATTCATAGATTTAATTGTATGATTCTGAGATTAATTTATAAATAATCTAGCAATGGAGAAGTAGTAGCTTGGATATAAGATAAGATTGGCCCTAAACTGAAAGCTGTCAAAGCCAGGTCGACAGGGGCGTATTATATTAGTCTCTACGTTTTGCATACCTTTGAAATTTTATGGAGTAAAATATGAAAAGCATATGTAAGAGGCATATTCCAGTTTACCAAATGTGTGATTCTTTTTTTTTTTTTCAGCATAACAGTATTCATTGTTTTTGCACCACACCCAGTGCTCCATGCAATCGGTGCCCTCTCCAATACCCACCACCTGGTTCCCCCAACCTCCACCCCCCGCCCCTTCAAGACCCTCAGGTTGTTTTTCAGAGTCCATAGTCTCTCATGGTTCACCTCCCCTTCCAATTTCCCCCAACTCCCTTCTCCTCTCTAACTCCCCTTGTCCTCCATGCTATTTGTTATGCTCCACAAATAAGTGAAACCATATGATAATTGACTCTCTCTGCTTGGTTTATTTCACTCAGCATAGTCTCTTCCAGTCCCTTCCATGTTGCTACAAAAGTTGGGTATTCATCCTTTCTGATGGAGGCATAATACTCCATAGTGTATATGGACCACATCTTCCTTATCCATTCGTCCGTTGAAGGGCATCTTGGTTCTTTCCACAGTTTGGCGACCGTGGCCATTGCTGCTATAAACATTGGGGTACAGATGGCCCTTCTTTTCACTACCAAATGTGTGATTCTGCCACAGCTCACAGGCCCCTGGGTCTCCAATGAGTTGTCACACTCCACACTTTTTCTGTAAGACATCAAAAGTTGCCTTCTCCAGAGTCTGCCGGGACCCCAGCTGGTGTAGGTTATTTCTGCTTTATCCTTACCATGCTTCGTGTGTATACAAACACAATCCACACAGTCACA